ACCAGTTCTTCAAGGTGCCCTTGGCCGTCAACGGCCGCCCTTTGAACAACTCCGAGTTCCAGCGCCAGTTCGAGCGGATCTACCAGATCGCCCAGCGGTCGCCCCCGGTTGGCGTGCTGACGGTCGCCAACCGAGACTCGTGGGCCGACGCCCGGAAGAAGCTGCTGGCAGCTCACCCGGCGAACGAGCAGGCGCTGCGGGACATCGAGTCGGCCGGGTTCGTGGTGTGCTTGGACGACGCGTCGCCCGTGACCCTGGAGGAACGCGCCCACCAATACTGGCACGGAGATGGCGCCAACCGCTGGTTCGACAAGCCGCTGCAGTTCATCGTCAACGACAACGGCACGGCCGGCTTCATGGGGGAGCACAGTATGATGGACGGCAGTCCCACCCACCGCCTGAACGACCACCTCAATAGCCTGATCTTCGCCAACAAGATCGACCTCTCGGAGCAGGCGGTGCGGTCGGACCTGCCCGACCCGCGGCCGATCAACTTCCACCTCAACGGCGAGGTGGAGGAGGCGATCGAGGCCGCCACCAAAGAGCACCGGCAGCAGATCTCGAACCACGAGTTGAAGGTCCAAGCGTACCAGGGCTACGGCAAGGGGCTGATCAAGAAGTTCAAGTGCAGTCCGGATGCGTACGTGCAGATGATCATCCAGCTGGCCTACTACAAGATGTACGGCAAGAACCGGCCCACGTACGAGTCGGCGTCGACCCGCAAGTTCCAGGAGGGCCGGACGGAGACGATCCGCACGGTCTCGGACGAGAGCGTGGCCTTCTGCAAGGCCATCAGCGACCCGGCCGTTGCTCGGGAGGAGGTGGTGCGGTTGTTCCGCGCGGCGCTGGCCGCCCACTCGAAGTACACGGCCGAGGCCAGCGACGGCCGGGGCGTGGATCGTCACCTGTTTGGACTGAAGAAGTTGGTGAAGGAGGGGGAGAAGCTACCCGCCCTGTATGAGGACCCGGCTTATGCCTACAGCGGTTCGTGGTACTTGTCCACCAGCCAGCTGAGCTCGGAGTTCTTCAACGGCTACGGATGGAGTCAGGTGATTGACGATGGGTTCGGCATTGCCTACATGATCAACGAGAACAGGTGAGTTGCTCCCGTCACTGTATGGCCAGGCCATGACTAATGTGTGTAGTCTGAACTTCAACATCGTGTGCAAGCGCCTGGGCGCGGAGCGCATGAGCTACTATCTGAACGAGGCGGCTTCCGACTTGCGGGATGTGTTGATGCCTGATCTGGCTGCTCAGAGCGAGAAGGCGAAGTTGTAGGATACCATAGATAGAGTGGGATTTGTTCTGGAGATATATCCTTGTAGATCATGAAGATCATATGAACTGAGTTTTGAACCAAGCATGATGATTGTGGCACTGCTGTAATCTGGACCAATGACCCTGTTGTGGTCATTTGATACATGTACGGAGTACTTTTATGTACTGTAATGATTTACTTGTCCCACCCCCACCACTTGCACTGGAGAGTAAGACTTCCCGGGGGAGAACCCCCGGACCCCCCTTTCTTTCAGCTTCCCAGTAACACTCAACCCTAAAACACATGATCAAGGCTTCCTGGGGGAGAACCCCCAGACCCCTCTTTCTTTCAACTTCCTAGCAAAACACAAACCCATGACAACAATGATAACGGGCGCAGTGCCACAGTGACGAGTACATTGCAACATACGACAGAAAGCTGGACTACCACGCAGAGCAGGAATGCCACACGTCATATCCGGCGCATTTCTCGGCGGGATGGATGCAGCCGTGTCTCTATCTAGAGGCCAGAAAGTGGCTGCAGAAGTAGGGTGCTTGAAGGAGCACTGGACAGTAATGTGCTTACACTCAGCCGAAAGTAGTTGCAGCTGACGGAATGATCAACCCTGCCGATCGCATTTGTGAAGTGCGGGGTGAGCTGAGCTACAGTTAAATATGAGATAGCGTACCCCTCACTCGCATTCTCCTCAATCCAACCTCGGTGTACCACCTGCCACAAGACAGTCCATTCCCGGTCTATACAGAATATCACCATGGCTCAGAAATATGAACTCCCCTTCAAGGTAAGTACGGTAGAATCTTCTCACTAGCATCGACGAAGACTGAGATGGACAGCTCGATGACCCGTCGATTCTCCGCTTTGACTCCTTTGTCAACAATGAGTGGAAGCCCGCAAGCAGTGGGGAGAGATTCGAGGTTATAGGTCTGTCTCTTACATTCTCTGCTATAACTTCACATACCCTCTCTCAAGACACTCTTCAGACTGCATCAGAATGTTGTTCGGATGTTCTGGATTTACGGGGCAGACCCCGCACCCCCTCTCTTGCCTACACGATGCACCTACACAGATACTTCTATAATATTTTGAGGATAAACGAGGGGAGACCCCCCCGGATCCCCCCTCTTCTTCAGTGCATCACCTTGATACCCATATATCAGACCTACACATATACATCCTTAATGCTTACGGGGGAACCCCCCCGTACCCCCCATCTCCGCTCCCCCAACTAACAGTGTTCAGACCCCGCAACCACAACCCCCTGGACCAGCATCCCCACCAACACCGTCACCGACATCCCCAGCTACACGCACTCCGCCTCCACCGCATTCCGCACCTTCCGCACCACGACCGCGCGGCACCGCGCCCAGCTCCTCCAGAACTGGGACACGCAGATCCGCACGCACCGAACGGACCTGGCGCGGATCCTGGTCCACGAAACCGGCAAACCGCTCGCCGAAGCCCTCGGCGAGATCGACTACGCCCTGACCTTCACCTGGTGGTTCGTAGGCGAGCCCGAGCGCATTTCCGGGAGTATCGCCCCCGCCGCGATCCCCGGCCGGCGGATCCTGACCGTCAAGCAGCCGATCGGCGTGGTGGCGGCGCTGGTGCCCTGGAACTTCCCGGTGGCGATGGTCGTCCGGAAGGCGGCGGCGGCGGTCGCGGCGGGGTGTACGATGATCGTGAAGCCGTCGCCGGAGACGCCGGTCAGCGCGCTGGTGCTAGGGGAGCTGTCGCGGCGGGCCGGGTTTGCACCGGGGGTGCTGAATGTCCTCACCACGGATCTGGAGAATACGCCCGCCGTGAGCGAGGCGCTGTGTCGCGACCCGGCCGTCCGGAAGGTCACGTTCACCGGGTCGACGCGCGTCGGGAAGCTGGTGGCCGGGTACTGTGCGCCGGGGCTGAAGAAGATGACGCTGGAGCTGGGCGGGAACTGTCCGTTCCTGATCTTCGAGGACGCCGACCTGAACCAGGCGCTGGAGATGCTCATGGCGCTCAAGTGGCGGCACGCGGGGCAGGCGTGCATCACGGCGAACCGGGTGTACGTGCAGGCCGGGGTGTATGACCGGTTCGTGGGGATGCTGAAGGAGCGCACCGAGCGGCAGATCCGGGTGGGGAACGGGTGGGAGGAGGGCGTCACGATGGGCCCGCTGACCACGCCCCAAGGGGTCGAGAAGGCGCGGCAGCACGTGCAGGATGCCACGGCCAAGGGGGCGACGGTCGTGCTCGGCGGGGACACCGTCCCCGGCCCGGGCTATTTCTTCCAGCCCACCATCCTGACGGAGATGACGGCCGACATGCGCGTGTCGAGCGAGGAGTCGTTCGCGCCGATTGCCGCGCTGTATCGCTTCGAGACCGAGGAGGAGGCCGTCGCGCGCGCGAATGATACCGCTATGGGGCTGGCGAGTTACGCTTTCACGAAGAATGCCGACCGCTTGTGGCGGTTGTTTGAGAATCTCGAGGCCGGCATGATTGGGTTGAATACCGGGTCGTCGTCGGCGGCGGAGGCGCCGTTTGGCGGCGTTAAGGAGTCCGGGTATGGCAAGGAGAGTGGGAAGGAGGTGGCGGTGAATGAGTATCTGGTCACCAAGACGGGGACGTTGACGGTTGATGGGCATTATTAGTGTTTGGGGGTGGACGTTGGGTTTTGATGATGAGGATGGTGGTGAATAAGGAATTTGATGGTGTATGCCTACGTAGTGATGAGTGGCAGGCTGATATGCTTGCTCGGGTTCACAGCGCTTATTGTATATCGGCAGAGTAGGTCTGAACATCAGATATTGCGTACCACTGGACTCATTGATATTGCTTCGCGAAATAGCTGACTGCCCAAACTCCGTTGGTTTCCCCTTCATGTAAACCATGCTATTGCCAGGCCATCGCACACGTCCACTGATGCGCCTTCTCCCTGAGCAAGAGCATGTGGAATGGCGCATACATGCTGCCATGAAATGCACGGAAATGGTTGGCGGTGCTCGCTTGGTATTGGCAGGGCACCCCGTATGGATGCTTTACATACTCAGTAGTCTTTGACTCCGCATTGTTAAGATGTCCATTGACAATATCACGTCTGATCTAGAAATCTTGACACTAGAAGAGAAACACTCCGAGATACCGCACCCACCATGTAGGCATCAAACCCTCAGATTGGTAGTAAGTAACGATGTATTTATTGTACTAGGCCACAAGGGGGGAAGAGATAGGGCACCCTATCCTCTAAGCCGTACTCGAGTCCCATGTCGGAGGCCAGTGTAGTTGATATGATATTCACCAGACTGCGCAGACAGAAAGTCCCCCTTATTACAGGGTCAACAGTCTTTTTGACGGACATTCCGATGGACTTGCAGGCCTACTCTCCTCGTGTCAGCAGCTTTGAGGGTATCGATAGCCAAGCTGCCCTCCGAAAGCCTGAAACCATCAATTCATCACTCATCCACGTCCTCGACACCTCTCTCGGCCTTGTGCTTTGCAACATTCCTTCGGTCCCGAGCTCACCAGATAACAGTTAAGAGTCCCGCGAGAGGCTGAGCTATCGACGTGTCGCTCTGCGCCACTCTCTCCGCCAATACCCCGCATCGTGTACTCTCCTTCAGTTGTTCAATTGGATATGGTCACTCTAGCCTTGCATTAGTGCTTAGGCCACAGCCTTTCGTTCTTTGTTGAAGGAATATAAGCCGGACACCTGCCCCTTCTCCGTGCACAGAACAAACCCCCCTCCCCCCTTTGCAAAGGTGGGGATTGAAAATATATTTGCCTCGAAAGGGTTCAGGCCAAGGATGTCGGGGATAAATGGCATCACCAATTCGCTCCTGTCCGCCACCAACGAGAACAACCTTCAGCTTGCATCCTTGAATTTCGACTTCACCCTCTTGAAGTTTGAGGCGCCCCCGGAGTATCAGCGCCTAGGCTCGCTGTTATCAGCCGACCGCAAGAAAGATGCCGAAGAGGGGCCGGTGCACGTGACGGCGCGTCGGCTTGGGGCTTTGTTCGAGGAACTCGTTCCCCGAGCTCCATTGCTGGTCAAGGCCTTTGGCACTCGCGTCTCCGAAGTGGTGGAGACTCCCGGTATCAGCCCCCAAGGCTCTATCCTGCACGGTCCCTTTGAGAGATACGTGGGCGCTGATGGCACGGCACTCTGGGCGGCAGCGACGTCCGGTTTTGCCTCTATTGCCATCTGTCTCCTGGCATGTCTTCTGGCACGAACCTGGGACGCCAAACATGCCACCGCGCTGTGGGTCGAGCTGGTGGACCAGCGGAAGCGTGAGATTGAAAAAGCATTCGAAGAGACGAGTCTGGTTTCGCCCGCCGCCCTCTTCAGCGCTCGCCAGGGCATCTCGCGATATGAACTAGCCCAATGGGATAACAGTGCGCGGTCGTGGTTGCGGAGTGCGGATAAAGCGAAAGCCTTCGAGGTCACGCAGTTCAGTCTGATTCAACGCAACATCGACCTTCCATTACCCTCCCACTCGACGACCTATGTGAACATCGTACATGTCTGGAAGCAAGCCATGCAGGGCCTGGAGGCACTTCTATCAGGGACGCCCTTGCTAGTCAGCGACGGCACGTTCCTTCTTGCGTTCTCGTCCTGGCACTTGTTTCCCGACCTGATTGTCCTCGGACAGGAGACGAAGAACGCCTCTTTCCGCGACAAGCTATTCCCCCCGGGCGGCAAGGCAACGATTGGCGCTGAACCCACGTCGGCAAGAAGCCCTTTTGGCGGGTTGCAATGGTCACTGGCTTTCTCCCATCTCAAGTTCTACGGAGATCCGGTTTTGGCCCGGAATGACCGTGACTTCACCCGAGTCACGTTTCACGAGCTGAGGCTGGTCGTGCTGGGGAGCCTTCTCAATTCATGGCGGGTCAGCGTCCGAGATCATCCGTCCATCGCGCAATGGTTCCTGGACATCTGGTCGCTCTTGGGCACGGTCCCGAATGCAAGGGATAATCTCCCATGGATGGAGCATCTCGTCGAGGCGGCGCAGGCCCTGCTTAGTACTGATGATCGGGAAAAAGAGAAAAATTCGCAGCTAGTCCAATATGGCCAGAGAAGAGGGAAATCGTTCTTGGTGGACCGCTCCGACTCCGTCCTGGCCCCTTTCTTTGGCCTAGGGAACCCACTAACAGCCAAAGCTCTATCCGAACGAACAGACAGGGACTGTGGAGTTGAGTATCTTCGCTCTATGGCGAGGGCCCTAGGCCTGAGAGATTCTTCGACGCTTATATGTTACAATCTCGCTAAGAGAAGATCCAACGACGGGTCGAGTCCTACTTCTTATGTTGAGATCGCAACAGCTTTTCCATGCATGCAGGAATCCCGAAAGCGGGGAGCGGATGGCGAAGTGCTGAACTACCCTGCGCATGCCCGGTGGTTATTGGCAAGGTAGGCAGTATCCCTCGGTATCTGAGCTCTTGTTTTGAGTGTACTGAGTGTAACCTCCCGTTCTTGACCAGCAGCACATCCCACTCTTCAGGCGATTTCCTTGCTCATGAAGCCATGATGTCCAAGGCTTGCGCAGCGATAGGCGAGCGGTTTTCATCGCTCGTCAGCAAGTTTGGGGTTGAGCTCAATGAAAGGTTTAGCTGGACGGACCCGCCGGCTCCTTTCGGGCGCAAGGGGCAAACATCCCAACACTCGTACCATCTGGTTTTCGGCAATCAGCGACTGGGCCTGTACACCGAGACCCCGATGGACAACGACCTGCAACAAGTACAGCTCCAGGCGGAAGGTTTAGCAACTCAAAGCCCGAGCCCCCGAGTGGCGTTGCAGAATTATGCTCGGGCGAGTCTCTCGCCTGTGCTCCTTGCCGATTACTTCGCTGCTCTAGTCGACAAAGGGACTCGAAAGCGGTTAAGCTCATCTCGGGATACCTTCGAGTTACGATATGAACGCCACGCTCCTGGGGTGCAGTTTTCAACGTCCCCGTGTAAGTTCCCTATCAACCTCTGCAAGTCGTTGTTTGCTTTCAGCCTGGCAGCGGATGTGTATAAGAACATCGAGGGGGCGACGATCCCGCTGAAGGTTGTCAGCAAGCCCTTGTATGAGTGCCTGTGGCTGCCGAGTCCCTTTTACCTGGAGTCTCAGGCCAAGGACCTCAGCGACGTTGACGTTCGGTTCAACTACAGCGAGCCTGCCTTCATCCCTGCCCAGCCGCAGCCACTGGACCTGCCCCAGGCGTTCTCCTGCATCGCACGGTTCGAGAGCGGAGCCTGCGACGTGGACCCAGCCGACCTGGAACCGGCACTCGCCCTAGCCTCCGGAGACTCGATCTTCGTGGCCGCGGCGGTTCTCAGCGATCCGTTCGACCGGCCCGAGCCACACCTCATCCGACGGATCGTGGGCAATATCGGACGGCCCGGGATCAGCGTCCTCGTGGCCCCGCAAGACCCCAAGATCCGCAAGCCCACCGAGTCGTTCAACATCATCGCACACGCCCCGTACGACTTTTGCCGGGAGGACAATTTCCGGAGCACCTCGCTGCATCTCTCCTTCACCGAGTGGACCTTCCCCCTGTATGCCGAGGATGAGCGGACCATCGACCAGGATGTTATGATGGTGGAATCGGTGATCTCTGTCCTCGACCGCGGGCGATGGGTGGCCGACTTGGACATTCGCGGCATCGACTTTGAGGGCCTGCCGCGCATCACCACGGCCCCGTGTCAGGGCCATGGGCCGATTGCCCCCTGCCCACACCAGGATCACCTCCCTCCCGTCGCGGACGATGTGGCTCATCGTGATTATTTCTCCGTGGACAACTGGGATGAGCTGCTCGATGCCCCCGAGGGCTCGGGGATCGTTCGTGCGCACGGGAACTGGGCGGCCCGCCTCGCGGCCGTGAGCATTCTGTCCCAGCAGGGACAAGGCCACAGCATCGGAGTCTTCGGTCCCGAGCGGGTCTGCTTCCAGTGCTACCAGGCGGAGCAGAGCCACATGGATGTGGATGTGTTCGAGGAGCGTGAGGCACCGCTTCCGTCCTTTTGCATCGATTAGGGTTGAGCGGCTTGGCGGGGGCCCGTTCCATGAGCCGTGCGTACAGGTAAGTGTATATGGCGAGACATGATACACGTCTATGGAAGTAAGACAGATCCCGAAATACAGAGCGCAATATATCTATGCTCTCGCTCGGCGTTCTTCGTCGACGGTAGGTGTTTCTCCTTTACTTCGAGTCATGCTATCTCCCAATTTGAGCTAGCCTAGGTGTAAATTGTGATTCTCGGCTGGTCGCCTTTCTGTCCGGTCGACTGGCCTCAAAGGGCCCACCGCCAAGGGCGTTACTGTACATACAGGTGGATTAGACGGTTGCTTTTATCGGATTGCTGCACGCTATTCAATACTCAGTAGATGCTACATATCCCCGGGGAGTAGACCCAAATCGTCTCAATGATATAGCCAGCATGGTTCAATCCACGGGCCCGCTCGGAGCATTCATCATTGGCACTATGTCTTATCCGTTTGTCTGGGGAAAAGTGAGCCTTGCTGGCGTCAATCGTTCTGAAGTGTGGGTTGTGCATGTCCAGTCGAGGTGCTGCTGTATAGCCTCCATCACCAAGTCCAATCCACACCCATCCATCACCCACCACACATCCACAGCAACCTACCACGAACCTCACCTCTTAGCTTCAAACCGCACACCCTAGCACAATTGACTAGCAGGATCTCAGCCACAATCGATGACCTGAAGAGGCAATCCCGGTAGTCCGGACAGCATCGTGGCCGGTATGCTCTGATGTACACCGTAGTCGCGAGCACTGACGCCTAGCCCAACACCGACACTGACACCAGCCCCGACAACCGGGGCTCTGTTGATCAGACATAAATACTCTGGCATGCGACAGCTTATAGATCAAGCATCAAGCTCAACCTTTCAGCCAAGCACGTCTTCTTCCGACTTTTGGTTATCATCCCCAGTGACCCTGTATCCATCGCGAGATATCAAGATGACCCGCCCCCTGAATGTCGGCATCAAAGCCATCGAGATCTACTTTCCCAACCGCGTAAGCTGTCTCCCCTCACCTCTCCCAGGTCTCGTCAGGTGTAATCTAACGCAATGATCCGGAGGAAGTATGTCCCCCAACCCGACCTGGAGAGATACATGCACGTCAGCGCCGGGAAACACACGATCGGCCTGGGCCAAACGAACATGAGCTTCTGCGATGACCGCGAGGGTAACCCCCATCCCAGCCCTCATCCGCAACCCCACGAGCTAGCACCTAGCTAACCCACCGGTGTCCCCCTGGTTCCCGGAAGGACAGACATCAACACCCTAGCCCTAACCACCGTCTCCGCCCTCCTCCACAAAAACACCATCCCCGCAACCTCCATCGGGTATCTGGGCGTCGGCACCGAATCGCTCCTCGACCGCTCCAAATCCACCAAAACCGTGCTCATGCAGCTCTTCGCCCCGGACAACCCGGACATCGAGGGCGTGGACTCCTACAACGCCTGCTACGGCGGCACCGCCGCGCTGCTGGCGGCCGTCGCGTGGATCGAGTCCGCCGCGTGGGACGGGCGCGACGCCGTCGTCGTCTGCGGGGACATCGCTGCGTACGCGCGGGAGGATGCTGCCGCACGGCCCACGGGCGGCGTGGGGTGTGTTGCAATGCTGGTGGGCGCGGACGCGCCGGTGGTGCTGGAGACGGGGGTCCCGCGGGCGTCGTATATGCGGCATGCGTGGGATTTCTTCAAGGCGGATTTCGGGCGGGAGGCGGCGGTTGTGGATGGGAGGCTGTCGGAGAGGTGTTATCTGGAGGCGGTGGATGGGTGTTATCGGGGTTGGGTGCGGAAGATGAGTGCCTTGCAAAAGGGGGGGAGGGAGGGGGAGGAGGTAGCTGGGGCTGGGGTTGGGGTTGGGGTTGGCATCGACGCCTTCGATTACTTTCTCTTCCACGCGCCGAACTGCAAGCTCGTGGCCAAGGCGTATGCGCGGTTGCTGTGGAATGATCTGCTGCGCCGCGGGGAGATTCCGGAGGAGCTGCGGCCAGTCAGTCTGGATGACGAGAGTACCCTTGCGGATAAGGGTCTTGAGAAGCAGGTGATGGCGCTGGCGAGATCGCGCTTTGAGGAGAGGGTGCAGCCCGGTCTGCTCGTCCCTACCCAGTGCGGGAACATGTACACCGCCAGTCTGTACTCCGGGCTCGTGGGCTTGCTGGCTTCCGTGCCGAGTGAGCGGCTCCAGGGGAAGAGGATTGGCTTGTTCAGCTATGGGAGTGGGCTGGCGAGTACCCTGTTCACGCTGGTGGTGCGCGGGGATACGAGTGTGATGGCGCAGAGGCTGGATCTGCACAGCCGGTTGGCGGCCCGCGTGTCGGCGGCGCCGGAGGTGTGGGATGAGATGTGTCGGTTGCGGGAGGCGGCGTTTCAGCGGAGGGAGTATGGCCCTCGTGGGGAGGTGGGGGATTTGCTTGCGGGGACGTATTATTTGGAGTATGTGGATGCGAAGTTGAGGAGGCGGTATGCGGTAAAGGCTTAGGGGGTGTGGGGGAGAGATGTCTGGGTTAGTGTGTATGTATGAGGATGCTGCTGCTGCTTGAGCTTGAGGTGTTTAATGTAATGAATGGAAATGAGTTGAGCTTTATGGTAATGTTGGATGGCGAGAGTTCCCTATACTTAGGGCACTTAGGGCAAAGAGTATATTGTGAGCGAGCGGGTTGCAGTAGAGATGTAAGCTGTACCCTGTTTGCCAAAGTCTAACCCACCCCAGACTGGCAGACAGGATTACCCATGAATCAAGAAAGACATCTGCGGTCATTGCTGGTAGCGAGTCTGGTGTGGTGTTCTGACAGGCCCGAGTCGCACAGCACCCATGGTTCGGATCGTACTCGAGCATCTTGACGTCAGCATGTGAAGCGTCAAAAGTCAACCTCACCCATTCCCATAAAGAGCCCAGTGTGACAGACCGACTTCCGTAACCCATCACAAACACCAACAACTACATACCAGATCATCTCACCACACAGCCAATCCATTAAACTTGTGAAATCAACAATCCACCCACAATGTGGCGCACAACTTTCAAAACCTCCCGCCCTCTCCTCTCGCGGGGCATAAAGCCCACAACCCCAACCCACCTCCCTCTCCTCTACAAAACCGCTTCCCAGCGCTCCCCGCACACCTCCCCCAGCTCCAGCTCTAGCTCTAGCTCCAGCTCCAGCCCCAGCCCCAGCTCCAGCTCCAGCCCCAGCCCCAGCCCCAACCCGGCCCCGACCCCGTCCTCTGCCTACCTCTCGAGCCACCACCGCAACCGCCACCCGGAATCCGACCTGGACCGCCACCTCCTGCGGCCGGAGTCCTACGAGACCTCGAAGAGCGGCACCGACGACGCGGCCGCCCACCACCCGTGGTCGTTCGACCCGGCCCTCACCGACCCGGCGCTGGAGGTGCTGGCCTCGGACGCCGAGTGCGCCCTCGACGACTACCGCGAGGACGACCCGCTGTACGTCAGCCCCGGCAACACGGAGGTCAGCCGGTTCCTGGACCCGATGGCCGGCGGCGCCGCGCACAATGCCGTCAAGCCCGGGTGTTCGGGCATGGGGTGGACGCGGAAGGCGCATGTGTTCCGGGTGCGCACGCAACCGGGGGAGAGCGGGTGGGGGAAGGGGTTTGAGCGGTATGAGCGGGTTTTGCGGGAGATTCGGCGGAGGAAGGCTGCTGAGGGGGGTGGTGTGGAGAGTGGTGTTGGGGGGGCTGGAAAGGAGGGGAAAAGGGGGAAGGGGTGACTTTTGTGTTTGAGAGTGGTGGTGGTGAGTAGGGTGGGAGAGGATAGGGTTTGTAGGGCTGGATGGGAAATTCCGTGCTTTACTATGCTTGTTTTGTGGTTGGGGTGGAGTTGGTTGGTGTTGTGGTTATACTTGGTATATATGCTTGGATTATATCTCTTTTGACAGTAGGGTGGTCTATTGCAGTGGCATTTATGTAAGGAACATTCGACATGCGATGTGCATTGTTTATGTATGACTGTTCACATTACCTCTGTATAGATGCGAGAATTCCTATTCTTGAAAGGTAAGATGTTGGCAGGGTTAAGTAGGGCTGGCGTATCACCCCATTACCTGGGTTACTCTCTTTTCTACTCACAAATACTGTATGAATAGGTATGGCAGAGACCATCGAAAACCGGGCGATCCCACTAAGAATAAATTAACGGTAGTCTAGACCGCCCACCACCCAGTCGAGCCAATGTGCAAGGCCGGGCTGGGGCCAACGCCACGCGATCTGCATCCATTACGTCACGCCACGATCCGGATTCCACCCCACGGCATGCCCCATTGTCAGCTTGACATTTAGTGACATTTAACGGACTCTCAGACTATGCAGAATGAATGGGCATGAGTCATGTTTCTGGTGAAGATGCGATTAGTTCAGAAGAAACTAGGAGGGGTATATTGAGTCTACAATCAAAGAGATGCAAAGATTCTAGATTATGTACATTTCTACTTGACTAAGTATGTACTATCCAGCTGTAGGAAGGGGGTTAGTGGCAGCCACACTGTACCACTGCATACGTATTCACGCCACTGTCCGTCATCACTGCAAATGTTCAGACATCTCAGACGCAGGCCTCCAGCCTTGCCCCGATACGTCACCCGGCGGGACCTCCAATTAAACTCGTGGGCACGGACACACTCTGGGTGGCTTGATCAATTCTCCGAGATGTGAAAAGTGGAGCCGCCCATGATCTCATCCGCCCCAGCAAGGATTGTATGTCTTTGTCTTTGTTCGACGACAGTGACAGCCAGGTACTGAGTTGACTGACAGGGGAGGGGGACAGGGACTAACTACCAGGTAGAGTGGAGTATCTCCTAGTCACTGACCAGTACACATATACACAACAGTGTTAACAATATCGCACAGTCGACCCTGCAGCAAACGAAATCAATTCAGATGATTGTCTTGCAGCCACCATCCTTTTATACTACCACTCCTGCACTCTCCTGCTCTCCTGCACGCTGATGTCGCTGCAACCCCAACAGCAGCTGCATCCCGTCCCGCTGCCCTAACACGATATACGTCTGACAATCGAGGGCCTCATCCCTGCACAACCTGACGCAATGATGATTTAGTGTCGAGCGCCTCGAACCCATCGCAATGCTTCCTCCCCCTCCTTAACCCCGAGCCAGTTTCGTATCCTCGGCCGAGGAAGTGGATCCGCGATGATGAAAAAGCCAAAAAAGCACGGCATTTACACCCACTCCACCGGAGTCCCCTCTCCACCGCTCCACTCCAATGTACAGGTACTGCACGCCGTACTCCAATGCACTCCAATGCCCTGGTGTCAGTACTCCATACTGAGTAATGCAGCATGTCCCTGTCTCCATGCCCTTTCACCACCCACCACCCACCACCCACCACCCCTGCATCACTGCCTGCAGCCCGCAGCCCACTCCCACCCCAGATGTGACGCGTAGGGCTTACAGGTCGAACTGGCTTGGCTTGGCCCCAGCAGCACAACGCTCGTAGCGCATGACGTAGGTGGATAGAGCTGCAAACTACACACACATCGACATCATCACCATCCTCGTCACGATACACAAGATGCAACATAAAAAGGGAGGGATGTCGGGACTCGCTGGGGTTGGATTCTAGATTCAGAATTGTTCTTTTCGCAACTACACCACAGCCCCATCCACGACTTGTATATTAGTTTACGGTTCACGATTCCCTACTTATCTACCTACCTACCTAATAACGAAGCACACTGCACGAGGATTTCATTCGACACGATACGACACGATACGACACGGCCTCAGCTAGCTTGTTTGATTCCAGGCGGAGGGTTTAGTACAACTACCACGACGACCACTCCTACATACTACTACAGTACAACAACGACGATCGACGCGCAGTTGCCTGTTCGGGACCACTGCCCTATACGCCTGCACTCATCCAACGCACCTTCCTATTTCGCTCAACCATACCATCTCCCATCTCCATCACACACCACACACACCACACTCACCACACATCTCATCTCACTTAACCATCATCCACTACCATTCACTACTCATTGATCATCCCCCTCCTCCTCATCATGTCCTCCCCCTTCATCAGCAAAGTCTCCAAGCTGAACCTCAGCCCCGACTCGCGCAAGGGCACGCCGCCCAAGCTCCGCCGCGAGCAATCCGGCGCCACCGAGCAGACCGAAGAGGACCCTAGCGTGCCCACCACCCCGACCCCGAAGGGCAAGGCCTCCGCCGCGCGGCACCAGTCCGAGCAGCGCGACTCGCCCGTCCCGGCGCCCAAGGAGGCGTCCGCTTCGGCTTCTGCGTCGGGCTCCCGCGCCCAGAGTCGCGTGGGCCGCAGCGAGAGTGAAGCCGAGCAGCCTCAGGAGGAACAACCTCAGGAGGAGGAGCAGCAGGAACCGCACGACGAAGAAGAGAACGGGCAGGAGCAGCCGACTCCGAGTCTGAACGGCGGACCCACCGAGTCGCACCCCGAGCACCTCGATCTCTCCGTCCTCAAGGGCCTGGAGGTCGGCGAGGACGGGCTCATCCACGACCAGGACGGGAATGCGATTGGTCGACTCGTCGAGGGCAAGCCCGAGGATCTGGTCGGCTATACCGTCGGCGACAACGGGGAGATCCTCGACGAGGATGGCGATCTGATCGGCGTCGTCGATGTTCTGGCGGAGGCGTTCCAGAACCAGCAGGATGGCGTCGATGCTAGTCAGGTTGGCGGTCAGGATGAGGACCACGAAGAAGAGGAGGAAGAAGGTCAGCATGAGCAGACCAATGGGATCGTCGATCAGGCTGCCGACACCGTCGGCCAGGCCGCGGACACTGCTACCGCTGCGGTGAGCAATGTCGCCGACTTGGCCGGGAAGGCTGTCTCGGAGTCGGGCGACATCAAGGACGATGCCGGCCAGACTGTTGGGAAGCTCGTCGAGGGCGAGCCGGAGGAGCTGGCGGGCAAGGTGCCCAACGACCAGGGCGAGATCCTCGGCGACGAGGGCGACGTTCTTGGTCGCGTGGATGTCGCTTCGCAGGCGAAGGAAGCGGCGGGAAGTGCCGCCGGCTCCAGCAAGGCCGCCTCCCGTGAGTCTGGCGAGGATGCTGAGCAGAGAGGCAGCGTCGCTGGTACGGCTGCCTCCAAGGCTACAGGCTCTGCCGCCGGCAGCGCTGCCGACAAGTCCAAGGCCGCGTCCGGCGCCCAGCCTGAGGACGAGCAGAGCACCGTTGGCCCGAAGTCCACTGCGGACAATGTCTCGGCGGAGGAGCTCACCCCCGAGGACGCCGTTGGCGAGAAGCCTGAGGCTTCCGAAACTGACGAGGCGAAGGGAACCGTCGCCGAGAAGTCCGAAGCGCCTGGTACAGAGGCTGACGAAGCCAAGGAGACTGTCGCCGAGAAGTCGGAAGCCCCTGGCTCGCAAGCTCCAGGAACCGAAGCTGCTGGCACTGAAGCCGACGAGGCTAAGGAGACTGTCGGTGACAAGTCCGAGGCCCCTGGCTCTGAGGTTGCTGGCACCGAGGCTGAGGGTGAGGCCAAGGAGGCCCCGGAGGAGGCTGCGGAGGCGGCGACCGAAGGTGTTCCTGAGAGTGCTCCGGAAGATACCGCCGAGGAGAAGTATGAGACCGCTCAGGAAGAGGTCCCCGAAGAGGCCCCTGAGGTGGCCCCTGAGGAGGCCCCGGAGGAGGCAGCCGAAGAAGGTACAGAAGCGGAGAAAGAGCTTCCCCCCATCTCCTCCCTGGAGGGCCTGCGGTGCAACAAGCTGGGCAAGATCATCAACCCGGCCACCGGCAAGCCCGTTGGAGAGCTGATCGAGGGTGATGCGAAGAAGCTCGCCTCTCTCGGTGCTCAGCTTGACGACAAGGGCCAGTTCTGGGACAACCGCGGCAACGTCATCGGCCGAGCCCAGACCCTCGCTCCTGAGGAGTACCCCGATGAGCCACCTTTCGGCGGCTTGGAGGGCCTGCATGTCGTCGAGGACGGCTGGGTTGAGGACCAGAACGGCAAGCGCGTCGGCAAGATCGTCGACGGCGACGCCAAGAAGGTCCTCGGCCGTCCCGTTGACGAGGACGGTGATGTGACCGACAAGCACGGCAACGTTATCGCCAAGGCGGAGTACTACGAGGCTCCCGACGAGGAGCCCGAGCCCGAAGTCGAGCCTGAGAAGATCGACCTCTCCAGCCTCGAAGGTCTCACCCCCAACAAGCTCGGCTATGTGATCGGTCCCAAGGGCGTCCCCATCGGTCGGGTCGTTGAAGGTAACCCGAAGGAGCTGGCCGGAAAGGAGATCCACGATGGCCAGATCTACGACGGTCCTAAGCCCATTGGGCGGGTCGAGCTGATCCCCGAGAACGAGCGCGAGAAGAAGCCCGAGGGACCGTTTGCCGGTCTGGAGGGCCTCGTGGTCAACAAGGAAGGATTTGTTGAGGACGAAGAGGGTAACATTGTCGGCAAGGTGACCGAAGGTGATGTGAAAAACCTGCGTGGACGGGCTGTCGATGAGGATGGAGACATCATCGACAAGTTCGGCAGCGTCAAGGGCCACGCCGAGCCCTACGAAGTGCCCGAGGAAGAAAAGCCCGAGGAGGTGGATCTTTCTATCCTTGAGGGCAAGGTCGTCAACAAGGCCGGTAACGTCGTGGACGGGCAGGGCCGGGTCTTCGGTCGTGTCGTCTCTGGCGGCAAAGGATTGGCCGGACGTAAGGTTGACAAGAAAGGTCAGATCTGGGGTGACGATGGCAAGGTCATTGGCCAGGCTGAACTCGTCCCCGGAGCCGACGAGCAGAAGCCCGAGGGCCCATTCTTTGGCTTTGACAATGCGGTCGTCGGAAAGGACGGCGTGGTCACCGATGGCACTGACCGTATCATTGGTCGTGTGATCGAGGGCGATGCCAAGCGCCTGCAGGGCCGCAAGGTCGACGAGGATGGCGACATCCTCGATAAGAACGGCAACCCCATTGGCAAGGCCGAGCGCTGGGAGCCCGAGGAGAAGAAGCGCAATGTCAACCCCATGGCTGGCCGCAAGGTCAACAAGGAGGGCGAGGTGCGCGATGCTGATGGCAACCTCATCGGCAAGTTGACCTCAGGTGATCTTCCTTCGTTGATCGGTAAGGAGATCGATGACAACGGCTACGTGGTGGACAACGATGGCAACAAGATTGGCGAATGTACCTTGATCGAGAACATCCCCGAGCCCGAGCCCGAGCCCGAGGAGCCCGAGGAGGAGGTGCAGGAAGAGGAGCCCGGTCCATCTCCCGAGGAATTGGAGGCGAAGAAGAAAGAGGAGGAGGACCGTCAGCTGGCCAAGAAGATGAGTGCGATTGTTGGATCCACCTTGGACCGCCTTCGTCCTATCTGCAAGATGATCTCCGAGGTAAGAATCTACCCCGAGACGATGGTATAAGACTGATTGCTAACATTGCCCAGCACGTTGACAAGGCCGACCGCACTCCGAAGGAGGAGCTAGACGAGGAGCAGCTGGTCAAGGACGTCAAGCCTCTCCTGGAAGAGGGTGGCCAGATTCTTCAGAAATGCAACGGCGCGATCCGGGCCCTCGACCCCGACGGACGCATCGCCGCCACTGCTAAGGCCCGCGCCGCCTCGCACGAGGCTTCCCCTGAGGAATACGCGCTGGCTGACCAGCTCAAGGAGCTCACCGACACGGTGCTGCGCACGATTGACAACGGCAAGAAGCGTATTGCTGGCATGCCTCACGCCAAGAAGGAGCTCAATCCCCTCTGGGGGCTGCTCAGCGAGCCTCTCTTCCAGATCATCGCGGCTGTCGGCCTGCTGCTGAGCGGTGTGCTTGGTCTGGTGGGTCGTCTGCTGGAAGGTCTGGGACTGGGACCCCTCGTGAAGGGCCTGCTCGGTGGCTTGGGTCTGGACAAGCTGCTCAGCAACCTGGGATTGACCTCGCTGACCGACGCCCTGGGCTTGACTGGCCGCAAGAAGAAATAAAGGTGGAGCGCGACCCGTGGTTGAGACTGTGATCTTATATCTTTTGTGGTGTTCTGTGACGACGAGCTTGATACCTGTAACGTTAGCTGATGTCTGATGTTTGATTTCGACAATTTGAATGTCTTTGTATTGTGTGAATTGGCAGTGTCGTGTCATTGGTAGTGTAGTTTGCCTCGATTAAAGATCGACATAGTTACGAAGGGGGTGTTCTAAAAGTGCCAATAGGCAGACACCCCGCAGGGTGTTATCTCGCACGATCGTCCCGGGAGGCAAATGGGATAAGTGGATCTTTCCGGAAAGTCGCCTTCATCTTATCGCATCCCAGTCTTTCGTGCAGGGAGGAAGATGGTAATGTGGGTGGTCACGTATGATTAGTTGAAGGTCTGTATGACACTTGCTGTTAAATGCGTCCATCCGTGCTAGAAACCCACCACCAAACATGATATGATATCTCATTGATGCAATGATCCTGTACTGTATTGCACTGTCCCGTACTCCGCTAAACTATACCCTCCTTTATGCGTGTACCTGAACGACAGTAGTCCAAAACAAGAACAAAGAAGATAAAAAGAAAAGGGGTATAAAACCTCATCCGCCACATCCCTACCACTGACCCATCCACCCACGCACCCAATCATCCAATGACCCATTCACCCACACACCCACACACCCGCACCCCCGAAAAGAGTAAGAGTGAACGGCAAGCTGAGCCGATGGCAAGATCATAGCTTGGCCGTCGGCGCAATCGCCTTCCGGCGCACCTGCTGCACCGAGAAATCCACCTCGTCGGCGGGCGTGGGCCCGGCCGTGGCGTCCTCGAACAGCCGCCGGCCCACGAGGTCGGACATGCGCATGACGCGCGAGGAGACCGTTGCGCCGTCGCGCCGGTTTTTTCTGCGCGCAGAGGGGGGGGCATTAGTATTGCTTACTCGTTTCGATAGAATGCTAGCGGTGGGGGCAAATCCGCACCCACACTCCTGATTTACTTCGGAAAAGACTTGGGGAAAAGGGGATATTAGAAGGGGGGGTGGAACTCACCCCTCACGGCGTGACTGCGCGATCAACTCGGTGAAATCCCACAGGCGGCCGCGCGGGAGGACCTTGCCGGTGGCGGGGTCGCGTTCCGGGGTCCACTCCGGGGCGAGGCGGACGGAGGAGGTCTTGGATTCCTTGCTCTTGGCGATGTGGATGATGCCCTCTTCGGCGAAGCGTTGGTAGGAGTTCTTGAGGGTTTCCTTGTTGACGGCTTCGAAGTAGGAGAGGTCGCCTTGGTGGTAGAGGGTTTTACCGAGCTTTTTGGACGTGAGTTTGATTCGGTGGTGAAGAGGACAGAAAGGCAGCAGGGAAAAGGGGGGGGGGAGGCTCACCAGCTGGGCGTTGTCTTGGGCCTTGCTCAGATCGATCCACACGTCTTTCGGGAAGTCGGAGGGCGGCGTCAGTCCCAGCAGCGAGACGGAGCCGAGCCACGACGCTTCGATGAAGGGCCAGATCAGGAAGCAGTAGAAGTCGTAGTTCTCGCGGCCGCATTGGCGCTCGGCGTCGCTAAGCTCGACGGTTAGCGGCTTGCCCGACGAGGGATCGCGGCTGACGATGATCACGTTGTCCTTCTCCAGGCCCCGGAGGGTCTTATCCAGGTTGGTGGTCAGGCCGTCGGGCGGGAAGATGAATTCGCCGCGGAACAGCTGGGGGGGGGTCAGTGAAAGATTCCATGCGCAGCGGGGAGAACGCACCTGCGAGAGGAAAGAGACCTGGCTCATGAGGTCGGGGAACGACATGCGCTGGTAGGACGGCCCGCCGCCCTGTTTGATGCGCGTGTACATCGCCGCTGAGACCAGGGCTTCGGTGATGAAGAGGTGGATCGTCATGTTGCGGTAGAAGGAGAGCTGGAAGCGGTCCACCGCATAGTAGGTCGGTTCGACCAGTCCGGTCACCTTGCCCACAATCTGCGGGCCCAACACCTCCAGTGCGCGGTCGACAACCACTTCGGTGGGGAATCTGTAGAAGTGCGCCACGCGGCCGCCTTTGGCTTTGACCCGTTCACAGAGCCATTCGACGCGTCGCACAAGCTCGCCTTTGCCCACACCGCGTCCCCGCAACGTGAGAAGCACCGTTCCGACCAGCGCGGTGGGCATCATGACCGACACATTATTGATATCTGAGAGCACCCGGTACCCTAATGACCGTAAGATGCGGCCTCGCTCGACATTGCTCAGCTTCTGACTCCCAATCTCGGTGATTTGGTCCGGGAGTCGTGTCAACTGCTGGGTGATGAACTCTTTCAGGCTCCATGGTTCATGGAAGCGGACGTCGACCCGGCCCAGCTTCAATGACAAGACGGATGACGAGGACAGGAAATCCGCCAGGTTCTCCTTTCGCTTCGGCTGACCCAACAGCTCGCTGATATAAGACCTAGAGTTGCGATTAGCCAACACCCACGGACCAGGACTGGGCGCCATACTCAGTCTCGATGACCTTGTCATATTGTGTACTGACGGGACAGATGATCGTATCCTCCACCCGACCCGACAAGACACTATCCAGGATGAAGCTCAGGATTCCAAACTTGGGCGACAGCAGCTTCCCTGTCCGCGACCGGCCACCTTCGATAAAACACTCGAAATTAAACCCCTGCTGCAGCAGCGTGTCGATATACGCCTGCACGACAGTATTATAGAGCGGATCATTCCCAAAACTCCGACGGATCCACATAGCCCCTGCGCCCACCATCCGTCAGCCGTGAGCACAAGTCAGCAACGACGAGCAGCCGTGATCTTACCTGCATGCTGCAAGAAGGGGCCCACCAGCGGGAAGTTGAGATTGTCGCCGGCGACCACCACCGGAAGCCCGATCCCCAGACGGTAACAGATCAACTGCAGCGACACATAGTCGACATGGGATTTGTGGCAGGGCAGGAAGACGATGGACCGTTTTTTCCGGGCTGCCTCTTCGGCCACCGACCTTAACCGAAGGACCTCCTCGCTCGATACATGGATCCCTACCGGACATCAGCAACCTCATCTACCACCGGTTTGGCCAATACATACCCTGGTGATACGCCCGCGTCAACAACTGCGTCGCGACATAGTAGGCCCCGCGAATGAACCGCTTGCTCTCCATCTTGCAGATCATATTGTCCAGCATGGAGTCGACCACCTCCTTGAGATGCGTCTCGATCTCGTTCCGTCGATGCGTCTTCTTCGCGTCCGGCGGACCGGGCACCACATCCAGCAGGCCTTCCGTCTCCTCAACCGCCAGGCGCAGCTCGGCCAGCTCCTTGACTTTCCCCTGCAGCAGCGGGCTGGCGAGGATGCCGGACTTCATGCGGTCGGAGAAGCCCGGGTAGAAGATGGGCTGGCCGATGACCTCGTCGTAGGCGCGCCAGCCGGTGCCGGACATGTAGAGGCTGACCTCGCGGAGGAAGTCGAAGGGGTTCTCGCGGAAGCGGGCCATGTGGCGGACGAGGTTGCGCTCGGGGATCTGGTCATCTTGGGGCTCGGGCCCGCCGGTGACGCCACTGGGATGGATGGTGAGCTTGTTGCCGACGATCTCGAGGTCGGGGGCGGATTCGCCGACTTGGGGGTCGGTGTCGGAGGGCATTGTGGTGGGATGGGATTGGAGTGGTGGTGCTATTCGCGGGAACGCCGAGGGGATTGTTTGTTGGTCGGACAGGGAGGGAGATCAAGCTCAACAGGGTTCATGAAAGCATCGGGCAATGGACTGTGATCAGGTGAGAGGAAGTGAATAGAGAGTTGGAGCCATGATCAGACAGCTCCAGGCTGTTGAGAGGAGGAGAGGGAGGAGAGGCAAGAAGAGGGGAGGGAATTGGAGTAAGAAACAAGAGAAGGGAAAAGGGACGATCTCCGCGCTATTTCCCCAGAGTTACCGTTACGGAGTGGCTTTACGGTTCTGTAACTCAACGTGCCTCGGATGTGCTCACGTGAAAGTGGCTGTATGTATGTATGTACTGTACTGTGTGTACTGTATGTACTGTACCAACAGCCACTAAACCCAATGGAGAACCAGCGGCAAAGGATGAGCTCAACGCAGCAGCCATGAGCACGATCCCCTTCTTACTTGTACTGTACCTCTACTTCGCCTCTCGCCTCTTGCCTCTGCATGGTTCGGGATGGACCGCAGAGCATCCATGCGATCATTCCCAGATGACCTGACCCAGGCCATTTTCTCCATACACCCCAGAGATCAATCCCCCCCTTGGCCGTTGTGAAGCTTCACCCCAAGACAGTAGCAGACAGACCAGCTCCACAGCGGGGACCCGCAAAGGCCAGGAAAAGAAGCATCCATCCCCATCCGCCAGACCGAAACAGCCCTCCGAAAATCCTCGATCCCCTCCTCACCCAACCCCCCAAACACACGATGTTTACCTTACGACGGCAATTCTCCAGTACGCATACGCAGTTCCCACCCCTCCTCCTGTCCAATTCCCCCCTCCAGCCCACACTAACCACTCCGTCGAAACAGCCGCCGCATCCCGCCTCAAACCCACAGCCAGCACCATGACGGCCCCCGCCCCGATCCAAAAACACACCTTCCAAGTCTTCCGCGACGTGCCCCCGCTGCGCGCCCTGCGCCGGGAGATCCTCCTCGCCAACCGCACGGTGGGGCTCGTGCCGACGATGGGCGCGCTGCACGAGGGCCACCTGGCATTAATCCGACAAGCGGCGGCCGAGAACACGGACGTGATCGTCAGCATCTTCGTGAACCCGACGCAGTTCGGCGTGAACGAGGACCTGGCCAGCTACCCGCGCACGTGGGACAGCGACGTCGCCAAGCTGGAGGCGCTGAACGCGGAGCTGGGCCAGGCCACCACGAACCAAGACACCACCACCTCCCCGCCGCAAGGCCGCATCACCGCGATCCTCGCCCCCACCGCGCAGGTCATGTACCCAACGGTCCCGCCGTCCTCGGAAATCGACGGCGACGGCTCCTTCGTGACGATCACGCCCATCGCCCGGAGGCTGGAGGGGGCGTCGCGGCCCGTCTTCTTCCGCGGCGTGGCGACCGTGTGCATGAAGCTGTTCAACATCGTGGGCGCGGAGCGGGCGTACTTCGGGCAGAAGGACATCCAGCAGACGGTCGTGATCCGGCGCATGGTCAAGGATTTCCACGTGGACACGGAGATCAAGATCGGGGCGACGGTGCGCGAGGCCGACGGGCTGGCGATGAGCTCCCGGAACGTGTACCTCGGGGCGCGGCGGCGCGCGGTGGGGTTGGTGCTGTATCGCGCGCTGAAGGCGGCGGAGGAGCGGTATGCAGCAGGCCGAACAGTGCAGCGCAGGGCGATTCTGGACGCCGCGGAGGCGGTCACGCAGCAGGTGCGAGCAGAGCAGGAGGCGCTGGCCCCGACGCAGCGCGCGCGGTTCGAGGTCGACTACATCTCGCTGGCGGATCCGGACACCCTGGAGGAGCTGGAGGTCGTGGACCCCGCGAAGGGGGCCATTCTGAGTGGCGCGATCAAGATGGCGCCGCTGGAGGAGACTGTCCCCGGCGAGGACTGCGGGTTGGGCGAGGGCAAGGTGCCCGTGCGACTGATCGATAACCTGATCTTTGCGCCGCGGGCGTAGCTGCTTGCTTGCTTCGGGGCAGGTTCTAGCACCGTACCGTAGTACATATACCCAACATCAGAAGAAAAGATATTTTATACGAGGTAAACTAGACTAAATTCAGACCCTGTACTCGAATCCATAAATCAAATACACAATCGAACGCCCCACCCCCTCCCCCGAAACGCTCTGAAATAAGTGCATACCCGGAAAGGAAAATAGGGCACATGGAGAGGGCTCGGAAGGAGACTCGGCCCGAGAAAATTTCCCATCCGCAAAGCTTCCTCTGCTGTTCCCCTCCGCAACCCGCCCGACCGCCGCAGAGAGAAAATCCACGGTCTGGAACAAACAACCACCATCAAGAAGAAAACTCAACACCAACACCACCACCACCACCACCACCAACTCAACTCCCTTCATCAGCCAAAAGCACCCTTACCCCATCACCAACAACAACACCCACCTCCCCCTCCCAAAAAAAAATGGCCGACGACGGCCTCCTCCTAAACTTCACCCTAGGAGGCGATACTGTGCTGAACCCCACCACCACCAAAGTCAAAGGCGGCACATGGCGGGACCGACTCAGCGCGCGCAAGATCGCGGCGAACCGGAAGACGCCGCGCGACCCGAACGCGCCCAAGCCGGAGCACACGAGCAAGAACCCGAATCGCATGGCCGTATCCGCGCGGCCGGTGAAGCGTCAACGGACGGACGACAACAACAACAACAACACCAACACTTCCGGCCCAAACAACCACAAACCGAATCAAAACCCGGCGGCGCGGCCGTTCGTCTCCTCGCTGTTCACGAAGAATCCCCTCCCGCAAAATGCGGAGGATGAGAGGGAAGATGCCGGGGAGGTGGAGGAGGCGAAGCCGACGAACGCGCCGCTGATCGATGGGCTGGATACGTTTACGAATCTGGGGTTGTCGGAGAGTTTGGCGGCGCATTTGTTGACGAAGTTGGGGGTGAAGGCGCCGACGGCGATTCAGAAGGCGTCGATCTCGCAGCTGCTCAAGGAGGAGAGCGATGCGTTTATTCAGGCGGAGACGGGGTCCGGGAAGACGATGGCGTATTTGCTGCCGTTGGTGCAGCGGTTGATGAGTATCTCGAAAGCGTCGGCGGGCGGGAAGGAGGGCGTGGCGATTGGGGCTGCCGGCGGGGATGCGTCGGTCGTGCATCGCGACAGCGGACTGTTTGCCATTGTGCTGGCGCCCACGCGCGAGCTGTGCAAGCAGATCGCCGTCGTGTTGGAGGGCTTGCTGCGGTGCGCGCACTGGCTCGTGGCCGGGACGGTGATCGGTGGCGAGAAGAAGAAGTCTGAGAAGGCGCGGCTGCGCAAAGGGCTGAACATCCTCGTGGCGACGCCTGGTCGGTTGGCGGATCATTTGGAGAACACGCAGGCGCTGGACGTGAGTAATGTGCGGTGGCTGGTGCTGGACGAGGGCGATCGGTTGATGGAGTTGGGCTTCGAGAAGGAGCTGCAGGGCATCATCCAGAAGCTGGACGCCCGGCAGCGGCCCTGTCGCATCCCCGGGGTGCCGGCCAAGCGCACGACGATCCTGTGTTCCGCGACGCTGAAGATGAACGTGCAGAAGCTGGGCGAGATCAGTCTGAAGGACGCGATCCACGTGCAGGCGGATCCCGCCGACGAGGACCCTGATGCTATCAAGCAGAAGGACGAGGACGAGGCGTTCCGCGTCCCCGCGCAGCTGAAGCAGTCCTACGCGATCGTCGCGGCCAAGCTGCGGCTGGTCTCGCTGACCGCGTTCCTGAAGCGGACGTTCATGCGCAAGGGCTCCGTGATGAAGGCGATCGTCTTCGTGTCGTGTGCGGACTCGGTGGATTTCCACTACGAGCTGTTCACGCGCAAGCTCAAGGAGGAAGACGAGGAGAAGAAGGAGTCGGAGGACAGCGACGATAGCGACGACAGCTCAAGTGAGGATGAAGAATCCGACAACGAAAAGAAGCCAACGACCAAACCCAACGAGCACGGCACCGTCGCCCGAGCCACCGCGTTCTCCAACCCCTCCAACCCCGTTATGCTGCACCGCCTGCACGGCTCGCTGCCGCAGCACGTTCGCACGGCGACGCTGGGCGCGTTCGCGCGCAGCAAGGAGGCCTCGGTGCTGATCTGCACAGACGTGGCGTCGCGCGGTCTCGATCTGCCGAACGTGGACCTGGTGGTTGAGTACGACCCGGCCTTCAGCGCGGAGGACCACCTGCACCGCATTGGGCGCACGGCGCGTCTGGGCCGCGACGGCCGGGCGCTGCTCTTCCTGATGCCCGGCTGCGAGGAGAACTACGTCGACATCCTGAAGCGCGGGTATCGCGACGGTGGCAAGGCGCTGACGCGGATGAACGCGGACGACATCCTGAAGCGCGGGTTTGGTGGGAATGTGCAGGCGCAGAGCAAGGACTGGGAGGTCAAGACGACCGACTGGCAGATGGACGTCGAGCGCTGGGCGGTCGACAACCCGCAGTACCTGGAGATGGCGCGGCGGGCGTACCAGTCGCACATCCGCGCCTACGCGACGCACATTGCCAGCGAGCGCCACATGTTCAACATCAAGGAGCTGCACCTGGGTCATCTGGCCAAGAGCTTCGCGCTGCGCGACCGACCCAGCAAGATTAACGTGCCGGGCCTGCGGCAGAGCAGCGGCGACGCCAAGAAGGATTTCAAGGCGGCGCGCAGCACGGTGGGCGGGAAGAAGCGCAAGGCCGGCGAGGACGATGGGGATCGGGGCGCCGCGGATGTGTCTCTGGCGGCGCAGAAGATGAGAGCCAAGATGAAGGAGCACATGGCGGGGGCCAACGAGTTCAATCTTGCTTAACCTACATCACCTTTTTCATCACACAGAAGGGCAAGACCAAAAGCAAGAGCATGTAAATAATCGACATCGATGGATGGATGCAGACCAATTCAATAGATATCCCACAACGAGATCTTCCCATCCTTGGACCCAGCAGCCAGCCAGTGGGTACTCTGGACTTTCTGATTGCGTAGTCGCTGATGGACAGCCGAGAGGCCTCCTTTGCCTTGAGTATCCGTAAGCGTACGCTCACCTTCACCTCCACCTTCCCCTTCACCTTCCCCCACAACCCCAGCCCCATCCCCCCGACCCCCACTTCCAACCCCTGCAAAAGCAACAGCATAACACCCCTCCTTATGCCACTTCAAAACCGCCACCTCCTTCAGCGTCTTACACGAATAAACCCGGACCCTGGAATCCCACCCGGCCGTCGCAAGAATCCGCCCATCGGACCGGACCCTCAACCCCTGCTGCCCGGCATGCCGCGTATTCACCACCTTGGCGGGCGGCTGCTCCCTCCCAGCCCCAGCTCTCCGGACGAAAGGATGCATAACGACCTTCGCATCCGCCGCCGAAGAGAAAACCCACTCGCCCGACGGGGCCGCATCAATCGATAGAACCGGCTGGTCGTGCGCGCGGCTGGCGTACAGCTTCTCCCATTTGCAGGCGCCTGGTGCACTGCCCTGCTGCTGCCGCTGCGGAGCCAGACTCTGGAAGGAGATGGGAGACCGGAACACCATGACGCTGCCGTCTTCATACGCAGCCGCGACGTGGAGGTCCCGCTCCGCGGGGCGAAGGAACAGATGCAAAGCCATCACCATCCCGGTCTTGACCTCCCCGTCCGCAGGGATGGTGCAGACGCGGCGCTCGGTGGGCAGGTGGAATAGGTCGATGGCGCCGGAGTTGAGGGCGTTGGGGACGGCGATTAGTACTGGGGATGTGGAAGTGGAGGTGGGGGTGGAAGTGGAAGTGGAAGTGGAGTTGTCCTGGGATGGAGGCTCAGGCTCAGGCTCAGGCTTAGGCTCGGACACTGCACCCTCACCCTCAGCCTGCCGTCTTTCGCCCCCATCTCCATCCAAAGACACAGACAGCGACAGCGGCGAGAGATCCACCCACGCAAACGCACAGAAATTCAACGCGTTCACGGGCAACGAATGCACCAACCACGGCTGCCTCCCCGCACCTCCCTCTCCTCCCTCTCCTCCCAGATTCCCCGCAGCAGGGCCAGCAGCACCACCAGCAGCACCCCCAAAGTCCACCGGCAACGCCCGCCGCAAATACCCTTCCTCAACACCGCTGAACCGCCACACCCGCAGCTTATGGTCACGACCATGCCTGCCTTCCATCAGTACAAGCCACACACATCAGAACCCTTCTACACAAAGCCAAGAAAGAAAACGCAGGGAAAGGAGGGCAAACAAACGTATAAACCTCCGTGCTCCCACCACTCCCACTCCCAGCACTTCCTCGAAAGCGGGCATGCACCCCCAGCACGGCGCCGTCGTGCGCCTTCCACACGGCCACGGCGCGCTTGGAGACCAGATCCCAGACGGCGATCCAGCCGTCGGCGTCGCCGGACAGGAGCCGCAGGTTGTGGTGGTAGAGGTGCAGGCTGTGGATCTGGGCGGCGTGGCCGCGGAGGATGTAGGTGGGTGTTGCGGGGGGTTTGGTTGGTGTTGTCATTGGATTAATTTCTATTTCTTTTGGTGATTGATTGGGGATTGGGCGTGGGGGATGAGTGAGTGAGTGAGTGATGAGGTTGAGTGGGTTATCTGAATAGGTGTAGGTTGAATGTAATATTATATGACGGAGTATGTAAGTTGGTGTTGGTTGGGTTCATGCAGTGATTTGCAATGGTGGAAGCGGATCCGTGGTGGTTGGCGGGCGGTCTTGGCGTTTCCGAGATTGATGGACTGTACAGTACGGAGCTGTTCAATTTCTATATCGTTCTAATACAATTGAGACAAAGTCACCCTGATTTAGTAGCTCCTATGTTTATTATCTGCGAAGCTCGAATATACTGAAGGGCTCGACCATAGGAAATGTCTAATCTAGCCAAAGCCTAGAATATGCTGCTACTGTACACTCTAAAGCATCAAAAGTCCACGCTTGCTGGATATCACGCCCAACCCCCCCCATTAAACGCCTAATCACCCCTAAACTACATCCAAACCACCCTAATCTACAACCCAAACGAAAACCCCCCCAACGCGCGATGCGGCGCAACATAATGATCCTGGTACGGATGATTCTCCATCGAGAAATCCGCCGACGCCATCAGCGGGTTGACC